CCCACCACATACAGGCTTACTGACAGCCTGCAGCGACGTCCTACACAAACCACACAACTACACAGACAAAGCTCCAAGCACTGCCCTGATACAATATCAGTGGTGCCCGGAATTTCTTTTAGCATTACATGCTGAGCCAATATGCTAGTCAGTGTTTTTAAGAACTTTTAAGGTCACATGAATGGTTTTCCATTAATCTTTGAGACACATTATCAAATCTGTGAAGAAACTGTTGGTCCTTTAGATGAAAATTTGCCCAAACTGTGAGAGATATCCGCTGAAAAGCAGCTTTCACAGCTGCCACATAAATATACATTTCAAATCTTCAGATTTGAAGTACATCATTTTTACACCATCAGCTGAATGAGTTCTGGTTTAGGTCTCAAGTAGAATGATGAAATATCAATAACGTGGTTCCCCTAATGTGTGTTTTACATTCAACGGTCTGATGAGTTTTCAATTAGGTTTTCAGGGCATGTGTGTCCCCAAACAGCTCTGCTTTCACTCTCTGACAACACTGATACTCGAGGATAAAAGTTAGGAACAAAATTACTAAAGAGCAACATCAGCTAGCTGTCACAATCTATTGGAAAACACAGTTTAGTTACTTAAGTACAAACAAGTAGGACAAGAACTTATTGTCCTACTTCATTTCTCAGGAGTGTTTCTTACATTATATTTCTAAACCGATGTACTAATCTCAATAACAGGTCATAAAACATTGCATATTGCATTTTCTCCCTTGAAAGGCCATTTACTGTGTAGGCCACTGCACAAAATTCAGATAATCAAACAGTGTCTTCCTATGGCGGTGTCATTATCCTAGACTTTTCTGTCATTTGTGGATGGGCCTTTTTAATATATTTTAGGGGAATTCTCTTTTGCTTGACAATTTACAGATATGATAAAAATAACAGAACAGTGGGGTAACAAACAGATTACAAAGTTTCAGGATATTAATTGATTTGAACCTACAATGGGACAGAGCAGTTGCTACTCCAACAGAGCAACCAGGATGATGCAATGGTTCCTCATAAGATATTTTTTATTCTACCCTTGAGAGTCAGAACTATTTACTCCAGGGAATTGAAAAGAGACGACTGAGGTGTTGCACCTATTTTTAAATTCCTACCCCACAGTCTATGTTCAGATGTGCACTGTGCTTCCCAAACCTCCTTCCCTTTTTCTTTTTTTTTCTTCAGGAGAGACTCAGCACAAGGAGTAGAAGATTATTTAACATTGACAGCTCTCATTAGGTTTTAGGGTGTAAACATTAATAAAGTTGTGATGTACTGGAGGGCAACCACAAAATCTATGTTTTTCTCCAATTGTTTCATTTTTCCCAATTATCCTCCAATAACTGGCCAATATGTCTTGCAGCAATACCCAAACTTGTGGTCTTCAGGAATATACCAGTTGTGATAAAGGAACTAGTTCACTCTTTGCCCAACTTATTCTCTACCCTGTGAATGAGACAAATTTGTTCAATAGATCTAGCAGGGGGCAATAGAAGCTTTACCATCATTAATGTATAAAATCACATCATCGGCGTAGGCCGAGATCTTACCTGACGTACCCCGATGTGTTATTGGATGTATTACAGGATTCACTAAAGCGAAGATAAACAGCAAAATAAGATCGCTCTGGTGTGTCCCTCTATAAAAGGATTTTAAATATTTTGTTTTGTAACAACAGAAGCTGTAGGCTCTTTATAAATTATCTTTATCCAATTAATGAATAACCAAATTTAGCAAAGATAGACAGCATATAAGGCCATTCAGTTTTACAAATAAGTCTTCTATGCTACTGCAGGACTGTACATAATATTGAAAAGTCCTGCATATCGATTGAGAATAAACCAGCTGATCTGATGTATAATTTTAGCAATATGCTGATTTATAAGGCAGTTACATTCTCACTCAAACTACAAAGTAGCTTTTGAAAAAACATATCCTTGTTTCAAAGATGTCAAGGTGAAGCCTTTTTATCCCTTCCAAATGCTGGAACAAGTCAATAAATAGCATAATCCATGCCTAATGGAAGCAGAATGTTTCCACTCAGGGATGCATTTCTGAATGTAAAATGTGTAAACATTAATAAAGTTGTGATGTGCTGTTTTTTGGACTTTGATCATGAGCTGAGTTTGGGATGATTTAAAATCAGCTTAATTGTATTCAGAGCTAGCAGAACTCCATGTGTAATTAACTAAACTAACATTAACAAATTGGAAATCCATTTTTATCCCAAGTGGAAATCTGCCTCATTGACCCTGTTTCTGTTAAATTTCCGCTCAGCAGATTTCTGGCCCTTTCAACCCTGATTGGGACCCCCCGACTTGAGCCTCTGATGGCAACGTAGAGCAACGTCCTCCAACCAGACCCTTATAATAACATCTGCCTGCTCTCCTTTGTGAGGATGATATATTTGCCTTCATCCACTAGTGAAGTTTGGGGCCGAGCAAGTTCAGCCTTCCTTAAAAGGAGAAAATATGCTCTTTTAGGAGAAAAAAGAAGAGGGGTGGCAGAAAAGTGGGAGAGGCTAAAGGAAATAAGAGGCAGACAGAGGGAGAGGGATGGATAGCATGTGTGTAAGGAACGCTCTATGGGTCTTGTTAAGATGATAAAGTAGGTGGGAATGAAAGAAAAATATAAACATTTAGCCAAATCCAACAGACATTATCGCTACACTTCAATAACCAAAACATTTAATGTAATGGAGTTGTTTTTATCCCATGAAGGTATTTTTATTTTTTATTAAAAAAATTAAACCTCTCTATACTAAACTGAGCAATAACAAAAGTTAGAAAAGTCACGCACAAAAACAAATTAACTTGTATTCATGAATGAACTTTTCAAAGTTGCACAAGCACAGATGTCCAAACAAACTGAAAAATGATAATAAAGCTGAACTAAAAAGAGAACACTGCTCAAAATGCTCAAGTCATTGGCATTCAACAGTCTTTGAATCATAATTTTCTTATGTATATGCTTATTCGAAGAGACACAATTTTCATTCTCTGCCAAATGGAGAGTGTGAAAAGATGTGGCAGACAAATTGAAGCTGTTGCTGAGAGGCTTTGATGGAAGTTTAAACAACCGCTTGATAAAAAATAAGTTCGTTTTCAGCTCTATCATGTAATTTTCCCCTGTAAGCAGAAATCATGCAATCATTCAAAACCACTGTCATTTCTTCAAATCTCAAACTACCCTTTCCCCATTCTAACTCACAGATGATTGCACTGAAACTCTAACAGCTGAGACGTCACACTCTTTCCGAAATGTCAAAATGCAGGACAAATTGATCTTGTTTTTGTTTGTCCAACCAAGGTTTCGCTGAAAGCCTCTTTGAGAAATCTCTTAATGGAAACACACATGTATAGTAAAAGCTTTAGGATGAAGACGATTATCATAATAAAATGGTTACCCTATTGTGTTTTCCTCATCTGCCATTCCAAGCCATTGTACTGGCTTTCACATTTATTTATGACAGTCAGACAAAGAAAATGAAGAATCACTCACAAGAAATGATTTCTATGTTTTTCCAACATGCAGAGCTGACAGGTATAACAAAGACTAATGGCCTTTTCTGCTCAGATGAATAATCCCCTTCATTTTTGAACCTTCTTTGATGAAATCCTTGGAGCTGAGTTTGCGTGTCGACTGAATAATGACATTCATATCTGACACGTGTGATCTCTCTGCACAGTCTGAGAATAGAAGCATTTCATATGGCTCTGTTCCTTTTTAAAACTAGATCATTTACCCGTAATTTTAACTCATCCGCACTGCATTTCAAAGCTGGATTTAGTTTTGAAAATTTAAAGAAGAGTAGATATTCTTCCTGCCCACCAGGGGGGTAAGTGTATTGATTCATAACATAACATAACCTTTAAGTTCAAACCCAACAGACAGCTGGATTATCTCACAACAGAGGGCTGTTATTTGGGTGCCAGTTTGAGAACCAGACCTCATGTTGGAGACCCAGTAGAGCAGGAGAGAGAGGTGTGTTTGCTTGAGTTTGAAAAGAAGAGAGAAATCATAAGGTAAACATGCACTGAGAGTCTGTTAAGACTGCCTGTCACAGAATCACAGCTTGTATAAAATAGGCACCGGTACATTACACAGAGCTGCCATCGTCAGCTCTCTAAAACCTATAATTCCCTGTCACTAGATGACATTTCATTCCTGTCTCATGCAAGTCTATGATCAGGCTTATTGATATTCTGCCTATTATCACTTGGCTGCTGATAATCGTATTGATAACTGTCACTGGTGACAGTTTCCTGATATCTTTTCTCTCATTTTCATAGTTTCATATTACATTTCCATTAGATCCAATGTGTGTTTGTTGTGTGTGTGTGTGTGTGTGTGTGTGTGTGTGTGTGTGTGTGTTTGTTAGAGAACACCACAGCCATCATCCAAATGTGCTACAGGTGCCGTACCTGCTGCGCCACACGTAACATTACGCACAGGAATCAGAAAGGTGGGAAAGGGTGAATGAAGTCACACTGGAGCGCAACGGGGGGGTGCAAAATAAGAAAAGAAAAAGTGAATATTAAGCATTTATAATTCGGACACCTACTGTGGGCTTTTGGGGTAGAAAGGTAGGGTGACATGGCTAAGATCCTGGATGTCGAAGGCGGTAGGTTCGGCCGAAATCGCCTGCCTCTTCGTCCGCTGCTGCTCGTGCAGCTCACTCTGCTTGTGGACCTGCTGGGTTGCCGGTTTGATAACGGAGCGGTATTTGTCCAGCTCGTTCTGTAGTTTCTGTATGAGCTCGTCTTTCTGGTCGAGCTCCAGTTCCAGCTCGTCGATGAGCGCGTCCCTTTGACGCAGCTCCTCAATCTTCTCCTGGAGCGCGTACTGGAGGTCGCGCAAGGTGCCCATTTCAGTTGGTTGCGGCAAGCGACTTCCCAATAAGTTTACCGAAAGGTTCGCAGCCGGGTCTTTATCCTCTCTCCTCTACCACGCTGCCCATAAACTTTATCCGGCATGAACGGCTTCAGAGGATGCAGCCCCTGTCTCTCCTGAGGGGGGATTCCTCCGCCGCTGTCCGTCACCAGCGGATGCTGGGAATTTAAGCGAAGGTATGTTCGGTGGTTGCCGCGTATTGCCAAGGTGAAAGCGTCTCAACCACAATCATGCAAAGTTTGCCCTATATCCCTCTCTCTCTCTCTCTCTCTCTCTCTCTCTCTCTCTCTCTCTCTCTCTCTCTCTCTCCCTCCCTCCCTCGGCAGTGTGACAGCGGAGGACAGTCCTCCCCGAGTGCGTCAGGCTGCGACCCGGAGAGAGCGCATGGCGAGAAGGGCGCCTACAGGAATCTGTGGCACAGTGCAGTCTGCCACTCCAGAGAGAGACGCGCTCGTCTCACATGAATAATGGCCTCGGTGAGAAACCCACTGCTCGGAGAACCATGTCATCATACCTCAGCAACTCTCCCCGAGGCTGCTGAGTTACAAACAGATGAGCACAGGAGCCTTAATGGAAGTTGGAGGTGATGGAAACTTAATGGACCTCAATGTATAAAATAAACAACGCGTTTTTTCATCCACTGTATAGGGTGGCTCTGCTGCTTGTATTGTATATTTTGTCTACATGGACCAATGTGAAAATGATTGAATCTATTAGAGTGGACTAGTGTATGGTAGGCATACAATGTATAAGATGTAAAGATTAATTCCACTTTTCCCAAATCCTTGTCCAGCAACTATCCATTTGTGTGTCAGATTCCAAAGTGGAGCAAGTGAAGGTGCTGAGGGCAAAAAAAATTATAATCTTACAGACTGTCAAACAGCAGCTGCAGCAGACATGACAATGCCAAAGCTACTCAGGCTGCACAGCTCTCCACAGCAGATCCACATTCCTCATCTAATCTTGTGTTGTGTGTGGATTGTGTCTGTCCACATTATCCCAATGAGTCATCTGAAGCTCAGCGAACAGCATTTGGCCTCATGCTCTCTTCACAAATTCAGAGGAGGGATAAACTGCCAAGGACAATCTGATAGGATGAGGAGTTACTGAGGCTACAACAGCAATTACCGTGAGAGGATGGGGAGTCACTCACAGGCCAGACAAAAGGTGAGGTGAATGGGATTTCTTTGGCAGTAAGGATAGGTGTGTTTGGTGTGTGTGTGTGTGTGTGTGTGTGTGTGTGTGTGTGTGTGTGTGTGTTTGTGTGGCAAAGGGCATCTTTTTCCTGACAGAAAGCATGTAAACAACCCTGGAAAGAGACAGGTGGTCTAATAACAGATCACAGCTGCCCTCTTGTGGTGGGTTAATGCAAGGACTCAACAAACAACAAGGTGGCCTGCCTCTGCTCTTCAGGCAAGAAAACACTTAATGATCCTCCAATGTTGTATCATTGCATTACAGATGACCGAGCAATGTGCTCTGTGGGAATGAACAATCTGTTCTATCACTGTAAATGCTGACATGTACAGCAGACCTGTGTGCAATGTGTGAAAACAAATGCAGATCAGCAGCTTAGCAAACAAGGCTAAACATGTTTCAAGACATCCTAAAAAGTATGAAGTTTAGCTTTCTGTGAGACTTGAAGAGACAAAGCAACTGTGGGGACTCCTGTTAAACAAACAGTGCAGTTAATTGTCTGATTCAGCAATTCAAATAATAGCTTTAGCCTCTATATATATAAAGATTTGTGTTCTTGGGCTCTTCTCTATGTGCAAACACCCAAACTTCTAATGAAGCCCAGGCAGCCTTTCTCCTCTGAGCTAATTAAAGTCCATATTTTCTTCTTTTATCTCTGTCAAGGGAAGGTCGCAGGGCACAAAGCTTGAGCAGCAGCAAACTTTCCTTCATATCAGGAAACTGCAGGTGCCCGGAGATTTCAGGCTCTCCCCCAGTCCAAGGCTGCATCCACACATCCTCCCATCATCAAAAGGCCCTCCCACTGTCCTTCAAAGCACCTCTGCGCTTTAAATTTCACCTCTCTAACCATCCAGCTCAGCCCTTTTCCTATGCAGATCAATAGAAACAGGATCCGTTGCTCCATGCTGCGGTAATCTGATGAGCGGGGCTAGGCCGCCGGCTGGTGCCACGTCCTGACTCTAATGGGGGTCACACCGTCTCCGACCCAGCGGCGGCCCAGCGGGCAAGGCGGCGCAGGTGGAGGCCCTCTTCCAGACACCGGTGGCACCAAGAGAAATCACGTCACCTCACCGGTGCTTTTTTACAAAATGCAAACAGGTTCACTTCCTGTTCACAACACAGAGTGTATGGCCACATGCAATTCATTTGTCCCCTGAAGGCCCATTCAAGCACTTATTGTGCCTCATGAGCTGACGCATGATTTGACCATTTTCATAATGAACCCTGGTCCTATAAAAGGCTGACAATATGATTAGTACACTTGATTATTTTCTGACTTGAAAATAGCCTGTACGTCATTATTTCTCAATGAACCTGGGTCATTCATGTCCTCCATACCTCATTCTCAAGTACCTTTATGTCATTGTTTTGCCTCAGGACTTTGTGTTTGTTTAAAGACACAGTGTGCATCAGTTAATGAGTGCAAACGAGAACCTTCCCTGTCTGCAGTTTATTAATGGAAACGAAGACTGGAAATTGTCTAGCCATCTTAATAAAATGAACCCCATTGTCTGTCACATTAATTGAGTCAGCAGAGTGAGTTCTACTTGTGTGTGTGTGTGTGTGTGTGTGTGTGTGTGTGTGTGTGTGTGTGTGTGTGTGTGTGGACATCAATAGAAGAAAATCATCCCGATGATAGAAATTAAAAGATGAAGACAGAGTCAAACTTTCAGCAGGGAGCAATTACAGCAGAATCCACCGGAATAGATTCAAACTAAGTGAAAACATGAGATACTAACTGATAACTATTCAGGTCCAGGCCTCACGTGAAACCCCTCAAAACCAGGACAAACATACAGTGAAGCTAAAACGAGCAGCTAAAGGTGATGAAGGAAGCATATGGTCAAACAAAGCGTTTTCTAATGGAGTATTAAATATCCTCAGACATGCACTTCGGGTCCTCAGCGTCCAGCTACTAAAAGCCAATAATGCATCGCACTTCCTCCTGTCTGAGTCCTGTGGGATTGCCATGATGGATCTGATCAATTAGGAGCTCTTTCTGAAGCTCGTCTTGGAGCTGCGTCATCGGCCCCAAGAATGAGAGTGCTCGTCCATTCATGGCAAACGTCTCCATCTCCCATTTAGAAAAAAGAAAGACAGATAAGGTCGAAAACAGACGCTTTGTGGAAATAGTGAAGCTGAAGTGGGGCCACAAGAACCTGTGTGTGTGTGTGTGTGTGTGTGTGTGTGTGTGTGAGTGTGGAGTTACAGCACATTTTTTTTTCAATCACATATCTGTTGAGAGAGAGTTGTTGCTTCCTGATATCGATTCACACCATTCATGGCAAACCTTTTTTGATTCTGTTAGTGGAAAGACTCTGTTAGTAAAAAAGAACAAACATTCAAGATGTTTTAAAATGGGGGGGGCACACACACAACTTGACACATGGGCAACAAAGTACCAACCCCATGCTGAAAAGAGTCTTACCAGTCGGACTTGGCATATTTCCGAAACGCCTGCCTTGACAGGTCCTGGTGCGTCTGAGGCTCCGCGGAGATGCCCTGCGCCCTGCGGGTCCTCGGTCCAATAAGTTGAGCGCTGGGCAGAACAGACTGACATTTGTGCAATTTTCTCTTCAGTTCTTGGATCTCGTCTTCCCTGTCCGCCAGACGCCTCTCCAAGTCCCGTATCCTCTCCTCCTTTAGCAGCAGGATCTTGGCAAAGTCGTCCTCCAGGTCACTCATGTTGAAATCTGCGTTCAACTTTGCCGCGATTCTCTCCAGCGACGTGGACACACACACACAGAGAGAGAGAGAGAGAGAGAGAGAGAAAAAAAAAAAAAAAGAAACGATGTTAAACTCCCAGCACTCGCGCAGGTTGTGAAAAACGGGAACAAAAAGACGCGCAGGGTGGTGATGATGATGATGATGATGATGCTCCGTGAATCCCCCTTCGCTGCCCACTTGTTTATATCAGAAGAAAAAAGAGCAAAGCTGGTGTTTTAAAGCCGGGCGGCGGAAGGCTGATAGAGCGGCGCTACGCTACAGTCCACCGAGCCTCCGGGGAGCAGCTGATGATCCTTCATTGAGAAACCAATTACAGCAGCTCTTCCTCTCCGAGGACGCAGGCAGGCCGTCAAACTGGGCACTAAAAGAGCCGAGACAACTCCTGTAGTTCACCGCCTCTCACACTGCAAACACACCACAGAGGAATCCCAGTAGTGCTGCTGCTGCTGCTGCTGCTGCTGTCAAATATTTGTTTACCATCTATCTGCACAATCCCGAGCCCCCTATGAGCGCAATATTAAACACCCACATCACCTCCCAGACCTAACCTATTGCAAAAAAAAATCAATTGTCCCACACTCGCTCCATAGGGCAGTGGACTGGGCTGTTTGCAATAGTCCAATTAGATGCATGGAGTAAGCACACATCAGTGAGGTGGCTGTAATCTCCCCATAAGGCTAATGACCTCTGTGTGTTCTGGTGATTTGCCCCTCAGTGGCACTTCAGTGCTATTTATTTATTTTATATGCATGTGTTTAGGATTGATCCAATCTTATAGGAACTCAAAGGATAAAAAAAAACAAATTTAAAAACACAATTAAATGAAATTCAAAAATCAATTTCTAATCTAAAAAAATGTTATCTAGATTTTACTCAAATAGGACCAAGTTGATGATTCATAGCTGCAGAAGACTTTTAAAAAAGTGGCTATTGTTGTATGAATCCAACATGAAGTAATTACACAACAGGTTTGGAGTGTGTTTATCTTACTGATCAGACTAATCAGTAATTAAATACTTTGGAAACAACAGTGCTCATCTCTTTCATCCTCAATGTGGTGTGCGGACAGAAGTCTAATATTAATCTCCAAACCCAGCCAGTCATTTCTATGCAGCATTTTTCATCCTACTGCCTAAATCTGTTTCAACTCAATGAATTCATTGAGGGGGGAAAAAAGGGAGCTCATGGGCGCTAGGGGGATGTTTCATTAAGATTCTGAGTTAAAAATAGAGTGAACAGATCTATCCTTTGCTGCTGTAGTTCAACATATCTCACCCTTGTCTACTGCTTGTCTTCTTATTTTTCCCACCCCTTCTTATTGGGTTTGAAATGGATGCTTGTTGCTGGAAAGCGTGGCTATACAGGTGTAATTGCACATTATTTGACATTTCCTTTGCCCCTTAAACCTGCAGCTTTTCCAAAATGCTCTCTCACCTGGCCTGATAGTTGCGCTTATAAGGTGTAGACCGCAGCGGCTCTCATCATGAAACCCACATATGATCCGCGTCTTTACTGTTGTGTCTGTGTGTCTCTCTGTGAGCTTGTTGCACGGTGATATGTGAGCAGCAAAGTGAATGTAATCAGCATTCAAAGACAAGGTGAGGACCGGGGTCGTGCTGTTATCAATGTGGAAAACAGTGATCGATTAATTATGTATGCAGCAGACTCTGTGCCCATTATGACAGTGGTAAATTAAGTGTCACCTTCTGTGACCCTGTCCATTTCCACGGAGAATATGGTTACACTGAGAAAAAAGCACCACTGACATCATGTTCAAGAAAAGAGCATTCATGAATTCAGACAAAAAAGATGAAGAACAGCATCAATCGGTTTTGCATTAAAATGTGTTTGCTGTTATGTCATTACCACAATCAATACGCAGTATCAGTGCCTGTACCTATACACACTCATTACATTATCACCATGGCTATATCAGCATCATTGGCCTAAGAAGGTATATCTATGTTGCCCCCACACTCGACTATTCCCATGTTTACACAGAGTGAGTAATGCTGCACTACCAGTTTCAGCTTGTGTTGTCTGAGCACTACATGGGTCATCTCCCTTGGATGTTGTGGGTTAGGTAATCGACGCCAAGTTAACCTTACGCCACCCAGAGAAAGATGCTCTGACTGTTCGCGATAGCTGCCGTTCACGGGCGCCACTGACTTCATGATTGCTGAGTCTGGCTGCGCCGTAATAAAGCCTTCATGTGCTGTCTTTGCAGTGTTTCTAGAGCGTCTCCGGGCTGAGAGAAGCCGGTGCCCTCTCGTTCGCCTCAGGGACAGATCAGCTTACGGAAGAGAAGAGGGCAGACATTAGTCACTGTTTTCCTGTAATACACTCACACACATACACACACATACATACACACACACACACACACACACACACACACACACACACACACACAAAGAAGAAATAGAGAGAGGTATCTTGGGTATACCCAGACATATGCTTGCACATCATTATCACCCACGCACACGCTTGCATACAAAGATTTATGTAACCATTCACAAAGCTAAAATCCCAGCAGACACACAAACAAGATCATGCCAGCATCCCGTATGGAAACCTTAGAGGGGATTACTGTAAGTGCAGTGGTAGGAGAGGTATGTTGCTGCATCTCTGGAGACTCTTCCCCCTTGAGCCCCTGTTTGCCTTTGATACTACGTCTGACGGTGCTCTTGGTGTCTCTGTTGCTGTCCCAGTGAGACACTTCCAGCTGGCCGCCTGCCTGGGCCTGCCATCCCAGGAGAGGTGAGATGAGCGCTGGGAGGAGGTGAAAGACGGAGAGAGACATCATTGGGACGAAGACAGGAGAGATGCTTTGGCCCAGGGCAATCTATTTCTGAGCCTCTTCAGTCCCGTAAAAAACTACAGCAAATCCTGCACTTTAGCAGCAATATCAATACGCTAACTTCACATCACATCGATGAAGTCTCACATTGTAACATGATATCATATCCAGAGCTGCAGATTGATCACTCGGCTCACACTGGAGATGGATAAAACCAGGGCTCAGGAAATTGACTTAGCAAACGCAGTAATGATACTTCCTTCCTGTCTTCCTACATCAGTACCTACTGTCAAAATCAGATGGCGAGGATAAGGTGTATTTCATCTTTTTTTGCAACTAACAATTATTTTAATTATTCATTAACCTATCATTGAATCAGTCTGTTAAAATTCTCATTCAAAGACGACTTGTGGTAAATTATTTAAAAAGAGACAAATCATCTATAAAGCGGCTATAATCAATATTTTGTTGTTTTGGTTTCCGGCCTTTTTGGGATACTCAAGCTAATGATGTAAATAGAGTGAATATTGGACTTCATTCATCAAGTGGACAGAAAAACAACACTGTGATTGCTGCTCCGTATTTGTTCGAATTGTAATTAGGCAAGAGTTTGCTAACAGCTTCACCACATTGACTTAAAGCTACAGTGTGTGTTTGGGATTATTCTATTCTAACTAAATATACATGTATAGGTATGTTTTCATTAACGTACAATCACCTGACAGTAATAATCGCTATGTTTTCATTACTTTAGAATTAGCCTTTTACTCTACAGATGCCACAGGTCGCCTTCCATGGAGGCCGCCGCGTTGAACCGCCATGTTTCTACAGCAAACCAGAACGGACAAACCAAACACTGGTTCTCTTTCACTACAGTGTCAACAGTGTGCAACACTAGCTAAAGTTAGCTTATAAATCCATTAACTTGGCTATCTTACATGCAAAATACTGTCAACTAGCTTCGTGGTCAACATAATTCAGCGTGGTTGGGTTGTAGATGATTGACTCGATAACTTTAGTTTGCTTCCTCGCTGATACTGACAGTTAACACTTAATAAC